TTTAGGTCGTTCCTTTGCGACTCTCGAACGATAACGATTTAGATGCAACAATGTCTTCCGATAACGGATCAGCGCTAATCATGCACGACACACATGCAGCGGGACAGGTGCGCTTTATGCCCGTGAATTTGAACTCGTGTTCAAATGTTTGAGCAACACACTTTAGCATTCTAGGCATGTTCACTGCAACAAATCTTTGGCCATATCGAAGCAAATTCATTTTCGGACAACTCAGTTGCACACGTGAAACGCACATCAGCAAAAGCTAAGCGGATCGAAACCCAAACCCAGCGCGACGTACGACTTGCTACCCTTAGAGAACGTGCAGCAACAAGAAAGCTAAATGAAACGAAAGAAGATCGTAGCTTACGTCTTTCCGTCGATGCAAAAAGAGCCCGGTTGAGAAGATCGACGGAAACCGAACAGAAAAAAACTGAGCGCCTTGCTAAAAAAGCAGAAGGAGCTAGAAAAACACGGTTGGCTCTAGCGGAACAGAAACGATCATCACGATTATGCGGACAAAACTCTTGCAGGGATGCTACGAGTTCTCGGCTAGACGACTCCCCAATTGTGGTCAGTCTACAGTCAAAGATCTACTATTGCATCATACACAAGTGCTTCATATGTTCTTCTAGGAACATCCTACCTCATCCCTCAACATCGAAACCCCTTCCGAGGGCAACCATTCGGAAACTTCTGCTCCTGACTCAGTTACTATGGTTTCGGAGAATTTCGCAACTCAGGTGTGACTTTCTCAAACAAAGTTTTGTTGCAAAAGCTATTATGCACATTTTGTTTATTCACAGGCATCACTTGAAATGGAAACGACTTTTTCTGTCACAATGCCAGCGCCTTACAGTATTTTAAGAGCTAAAGGTCGCAGGGGGGATATTGCAAAGATCACGATCTTGAATACGCTTGAAACTCAAGCACATGTAAGTCTACTTCACATAGTTTCGAGCTTAACTTCTAATGCATTTCATAGATACCAGATAACATGCCATCTGTTCAATCGCCCCGGACATCACAAAGTTCTTCTACAGCCACTTCTACCAGCATTGGGCTACGTACTCCTTTACAGGTGTGTTCAAAAATCATCAATTCGAAGCCTTACCTGCAGCATGCTCAATGCTACATGTTTCATGTGAATTTGATATGATAAGTAGCCCTGCATACAGTGCTGGACATTTTTACGGTTAGGAGCGATTTTGAAGCTTACCTGCTTCATAGCTCAGCAGCTATACACAAAAATAAAGTTTACACTCAATTGTGGTTTCCTAATTTCCATCTTGAAAATAGTATGGATTGTTTTAAAAAATATTATGAATTATTTACAGGAAATACTCATTTCTGAGCAGCAAATTCATCCAACTGCTCAAAGAAATGCTTGCGCTCAGGAGGCAAACGTAAGAAAAGCGTACTACATCAGTTACTGTACCTCCAAACAAGCATTCCAGGCTGTTACCAATGCTGAAGACATACGGAATAGAAGCAGAAGAGCATCAACTCAAGCTGCGCGAAGACGTTTCGAAACCGAATCACAAAGGAGCGAACGTCTTAGAGCAAACGAAGTAAGACGGAGGAGACGAACAGCATTTGAACCCGAAGAGGAAAGAATGTTTCAGGTATTAATAAAGAAAAATGCTTAAACCATATTCCAAAATAAGAACCCTTCCAGGATCAGCAGTCTCTGGGGCCTCTACGAGAACATTCTACTTTCGGGA